AATTTTTTCTTCAAAAAATTATATGTGAGGCCCATGTTTTCACATGGAAACGCACGTTTTTGGGTAATTTTCGTTTTTTTTCATCATTTTCTGTTAACCATTACCAGATTTTATACGCCTTTCTACGCCTTTTTCACCCCCCCCCCCCTTCCTTTTTTGCTTTTCAAATGGTGAAAAAAATGCCTTTTTAGGCCCACAACACTTGTTTTTGTTTAATAAATGTTGTTTAAAAAATTGACCACTTTTTCGGCGCCCCCCCCACCCCCATCCAAAAGATACATCAGGGGGGTTCGCCAGAAGGGGGATTGCCCCCCTTCTGTTTTTGGGGGGGGGGGTTTTGAAGGGGGGCTGAGTCCCCCTCATCGCCAAGAAAACTTTTGGACTTGTGGGAGGCTAAAAAATGGCCCCAGGTCGATCATAAGGTAACGTGTAACAAAGCTGAAAACCCTTTTATCTTCTCAATCCTTTTAGAAAATGGGCTCTTTTTAAACAAAATTTTTATTAAAAAAACAACGAAAATAGTGATTTTTGGTAATTTTTTAGATGTCCCTTTGCTATTGGAAATTCGACTAAAAGTTGTTACGGGAATGGTCCGTCAATTTGTGAGTTTGTTGTATTGAAGCGTTTTTTTATTTTTTTAGCAATTGAACTTGTAACGGGAGACCTTTAATGAAAAAAGCCCTTTTTTAAAATGCTCATGGGGAATGGGGTTTAAAAACTTTTTTTTTCTGAGAAAAAAATTAGAAATGATGTTTAACGTCTCAATTTTCCCACTAAAAAGGCGCAAAAAAAAGGAAGATAAAAAATTGAATTTTATTTTTTTGTCAAAATTAGCCCCGTTTTGGATTTCTGCCATCGCGGCGCATTTATAATATGTATCTGCTACAACGGGAGCTTTTTTCTTTGACCGGACAAAGAGGTCTGAAACTTTCAAAAAAAGACTCAGGGGTGATATTTGGCGCGTGACCCCCAAAGGTGAAGTCTATTCGAAAAGGAAGGCCTGATTTACTTAAAAATTTTAGATATTTTGAACAGAAAAAGACTTTTACTGATTTTTTTTAAGGGTTTTATTTTTAACCCGCTCAAAAAATCTTAAAAAAGGAAAAAAAGAGTCCAAAATTACCTTCAGTATCTCCAAAAGGGACAAAAGTTTTAAGCAATGAAAAGGGTCGTATTTTGTTATATAAATTAAACCAACCCAAATTTATAACCTACCCGTACCCATCGGTAATTTTCGAAAATTTTGCCTCACTGCGTGATTGCCTCACTGGCCGCGGTTAGGGGTGGGGGGTTTAAAGGTTAAAGGTGCACCAAAATCGCTTTGCCCCACCATTTCCTATAAACGAACAGTGTAAAAAAAAAATGAAACCCCCCCAAGTGAAAATTTTAAAGTTGTCTGGTTACAAAAAGGGTTAAAAAAGAAAAAACTAAAATGATATGAAAAAAAAAGTAAACCCAAAAGACCATAAAAAAGTACTCAATGTTTAAAAAAAAAAAAACTAGAAAAACACCCTACAAGGGGGCCCCACGAAGCAGGGAGAAGCAACATTTTAAAACAATTAGTCCCAAAAAGGGCTTTACGAAATATCCCATAGAGTCTCCCCCTTGGGCGTCAGTGCTAAAAAAAGGGGCGTAAAACTTTCCCAAATGTAAAAAGGGTTTAACACTAAAAAATGCAGTATGTCTTAAAATAGTAGGGTAAACCCCTTTTTAAAAAACGTTTAATATTTTTGTAAAAACAGCAGAAAAATTACCATTTGACCCCAAAAATCTTACGAAGTTTGTAAATTTCACACTCGCCCATAAAAAAACCAGGCTGGCTAATCCCTTGTCGCAGAAGAGTTTTTAAATCACTATTGAATTTAGAAATTAAATCAAAGTTACGATTGTAAAATTTAGTAAAATATTTCCGTACTTTATGATAGCGGTAGCCCTGTTTTAGAAGCTTGCTGGTAATAAAAATAAAAAACCTACTTTCACTTTTACAGTCAACTGTTTGATGACGTAAAATATGACGTCATTGTTTCAGTTTGTGCACGTGCACATGTTCAGCGGGTTCCCGGGCCGCAAACGCATAATAGGTCACGTGACACTCATAATCAGTCGAAATCATTGGCGATTTTGTTACTATATATAGTAACAAGTGTATTAATTCAGTAATAATGCGGAAGGCTTTTCGTCATCGACAGTTTAAATACATAAATTTTGTTAACATTTATTAACGTTTCGACCCACACCTTCATCATACTAACATTAACAACAGACGTGATATATGCCATCGTAAATCCCGTCATGGGCCTATATAACTAATACTAATTTCTATGTTGACATGTCTCATATGCATGTTTTACACCCCGTTTAACTTTTTGTGTCAAATGAACGATGCATTCAATTAATAAAATATATATAGTAAAACAAATGTTTATGAATAGGGAGATATGTTTGGACCTTAGAAAAAACAACGACACATCGAAAAATGCAACACGTTGAATTTCGATGTATAGACGTTCTACATTAAACATGTACGCACTCGACATGTGAATAGTTTTTAAACTGCCGTGGAACGTAATATTTAATTTAGAGTGGTCTAGAGCGGGTGTGGGTATTACCGAACACTTAAGGTGAAATAAGTAGTATTCGGTAATACACGCAGTAATCACGATTTTCAATTGACATTTGACGAATATGAGTTTTCCTTTACATTTACATGCAAGAAACACTTATCTACGCACATTATCTAAAGAGTTATGACATTTCATATATTAGACCTGACTGCTTTCTATTACCGACCATATGCGTGTAATACCGAACACACATGCGCTGTATTTCCGGAAACACTGCCAACTTTTAAAAAAAAAACGTTAATCTTCACCTGAAAAATAGATAAATTAAAAACAAATCATTCACTATTGATGTAAGCATTAATGTTTCGCAAGTTTCACTATTGAACAATGTATTACCAGAGGACATAGATAACATGTATATTACGTGTTCAAAATGTGTAAATATTAAATAATTTTTATTTAAACAATATTTTACTCAAAAGAGGTACTTGTCAGATACTCAGGTAATGTGAAATCTACGTAAATCTGTATCTTTTAACTCCTCCCTAAGGTAGTGTTTGAACTCAGAAAACAATCTTTTAATTCTTTTTAACCTTTTCTCGGGAAAACAATCGATCGATCTCTCTCTCTCTCTCTCTCTCCCTTTCTCTTTTCCAAGCTGAATGGTTGTACGAAAGAGTTCAGTTCAGGGTTGCGGCGAAAGTAACCCTCCAGCCAAGATCTGCTAGATTTGTTTTCACGAAAGCTGTTCAGGGACTTTCACCATAAAGTATTTTCCAAGTAGTTTCAAGTGTGTGCAAGCTCTAGTCTTGCGGCCTCCCATAGCCGATAATTGAGACATGATGTGCATGACCAATTCTACATACGTTCTATCCTCAGACTTTTAGTTAGAACTGGCCAACTTTATTGACCGGGACAGTATTGTGAGGGTGGACTATGGAATCCCATCCTTTTTTGATGCTTGGGTTTCAACAAACAGAGTTTAAACGATCTAATCAGCTACATGGTCAAGCATTTTAATTCTGCTTCAATTACGTTTCTCGTTTTTGCGGTTTTTCTCCCTGCTCAGTTCATTAAAAAAGAAATTGTCTATGTCTGTACTGATCATTTTTTCTTCTCTCTAGAGCTATTATTTGTTTATCTATTCATTTGTATTCTATTTTTATATTTACTTATTCATTTATTTATCTTTTCTATATATCTTTTTGATTGGATTGAATGAAAGCATTAATTAATTAATTAATTAATTACAATTTATTTATTTATTTATTATTAATCAATTGATTGATAATTGCTTAAAATTAATTTATTTTATTTATTTAGATGTATGAAATTATTTATTTTGTATTTTAGATAAATTTATAACGCTATAATAATGATAACTGTGTGCTTTTTAAATTTGTCTTTTGACGTCTTATCTGTGATATGCAGGCTTCATAACCTCTGATCCCCTTTCAAAATTCCATTTTATTTAGTTCCGCCCATTGTTTTCTCGTTTAGGCACACGCTTTATATTACTTGGGGACCATACGCCGCTTTTCATTTTGGAATGGGCACGGAAGTGTCACATTGAAGGTTCCATGATAACCGCCGTATGAAACACATCTGCGGATGTTTCTAAATTCAAAAATTTTACTATTTCATGTTTAAATGTTGAATTCTGCTTAAGCCGGTGCTAGGGGGCGTGGACGGTAACTTGCACTTTCCAGTACCGTCCATGAACAGGCTCAATCAAACCGAGCCTGCAACATTTTCAATTTTGTCGTGTTGGGCTTTCTTTAGGGATTCTGTATTTATCTATATTAATCAGTGTAAGCATAGCGTTCGGTAATACACACATGACAAAATTTAACTGCTTGTAATTCCGAACATGCAAATAACTCAGTAAATAAATATCTAAGTGACATATTGAGTTATTTTCCATATCACAGTACATGTATTAGTTTCACAAATAACAAAGAAACATGTGACTTATCAAAATCACGTGACCAGATTAACCTTATGACGTCAAGTAATCTAAAATTAAATATTTGTAACGGAGTACATTACTTGACAAGCGTAGTAGTATTTTAGTCTTGAAAATCTCTTGCTTTGTCAAGTTATCACGTTGGCAATATTACAGGATATGTCAGGAAAGGAAGTGACATCATGTTTCTGATGTCACTGCCTTAATAAGAAAGAACATTAAGAAGGTTATGGTGGAAAAAAAATTGTGTTCGGAAATACACGCACGTTCGGTAATACCCACACCCGCTCTATAACATTTGCGATATATCATCAATTAAATCAAGCTTATTTTCCAAAGCTTTCTATACACAGGGCTTTTATAAAGCCTTTTGTAAATGTCAGTTATATAGCATTGCAAGCAAAATCAAAAAATGGTAGTGAAGAAAACTGAACTTTGCCGAATACAACCTGCCTTCATAATCGGATTACCTTTATAAAAACTGTTTCTTCTCCTCACAGTCAAGGAAACATGACCGGACCTGCGCCCCGCACATCTTATTATGTGAGCCACTTGCTTGTGTGAAGCGTTAATTACGCATTCATTGTTGCAAAATATAATCTCATCGCCTGTTTGCAACCGACCATCTAGTGCAGCCGAACCTCCAGGCTCTATGAAGCCAACCGTGACCTAAGGGTAATAACCAAATTATTAGTCAAGTTCAGTCAAATAAACATATTTATTGTCCAACTTTATTTGTCATCAAATGGAAACGCATGTTCGTGAAGTTGACAGCCTAGCAGCCTGAAGTTGGCTGCCTATCAGCATGGCAGCCTAGCAGCCTAAAGAAAACTAAGAATAGTGCAAACATGAAAACAGTCGGAAATACATTAGTAGCACTTCTTAGACCAAGAAGTGCTGGTCTACAGACTACAAGACATTCAAAACATTCACGTCATGACTCACATGTTGATTTGTTGTACAGATATCTGTATTTGTTGGTGTTGTCCGAAGCAATCGCAATCAACACGAACAAATTCCAGAATAGAACGCAAACAGAAAGTATAAAACTTCCCAAACGGGAAACATTTAATGATGAATATTATGCTAGATGCCTGACCAGGAAACAGTGTTTCCAAAACGGGAAGCAGCTACTTCTTAGTAAAATCGTAAAACTTCACTCAAATTCACTTTCAGATTATTTTAATTGTAGACATTTTAAAAGAAATGACTCGATAGGATTTTAGATGTATCTTTACTGCACTTAAAATCTGATATTCATATTGAAGTGGGTTGAAAAACTATTATGCACAGGTCATTTTTCCTGAACTACGTAAAATAGGCCAATAAACTTCCTGATCGGGAAGGATTTTGACGCCGACGCTCGGGTGACTACTATAGCTCTACTTATTCTTATCGAATAGTCGAGCTAAAAACAATACAAAATGTCAATTAATATTTTTTAATTCGAATGTAGAAAAAGGTCTTAATTAATTTGTAACTCATTTTTTTCGGTAGACATAAAGTGAAAGTAGATAATGTTTTTGGAGAATATATATTTCGTAACCTCGTGACATTTAGTGTATACATGTGTAGATTCTAAATCATATAAGATATTAGGTACTGAATATCCGTTGTCCAACCAATCAAACTGTATTAATCATATCAGGTAACAATTATCCAACTCATTAAAAATGTTTTCCGAAAATATCGCCCCAAGGGTACAAGCGTCTTCGCGCGCAAAAAGACGTAAATCATGCGTCAAATTTACCCCCCCCATTCAAGGAACCGATTAATAAAGCGTACTGGTAGTGACGTAATAAAGTGAATATTAATGAGGCCAAATAATGTAGCTGTTCTACAGAAATCAGAAACATCCTCTCCGTCGAAGTTTCTAATTTCTGTTCTAGAATAGCACGGATGAACACTAACATAATAAATTATACTAATAATGATACAAATACAATGCAATAAGTATAATATAATGCATGTATAATATAATATAATAGTTGATGATCACAAGTGAAATATATTTCAATCTTAATACAAAACAAAATAAATTTTCTCTTTATTTCAAGCTTTTTCGACATTAAAATTTTTTTTAAGACAAGTAAAGTTTGACTGATTTTGCCGCGTAATGTCATATGTTCTTCTTCATGACATCATCGCAGTATGACGTCACAGTAACAATGTTGTAATATATATAGTTCTGTAGAAGTTTTCGTATTTTGCTACATTATTAACACGATGTCATGCTGATATTCATTTGCTACTTCTAAAGAATCAACTTTTACATACGACGGAATTTATTCCTCTCGATCGATGATTTCATTTAGATGTGAAATATTTTTTTTATTATATAGATCTAGATTCTATTTACAAATGAAATATTGAGAAATATTAATGAAATAAAATGCGTATTTTCATTTTCAGTATTTTCACTGTAAAAATTTATTTTTCACTGCAGTGAAACATATTTTCCGTATTTTCACTGGTGTCTTGCCGGACTACTTTCTTTTAAATTCTGCCAGTACACAACATTTAAGGGAAAGTCTTTCAAATTTTAATGTCAAAAAGAGAAAAATGTATATATATAATAAACAGAAAATTCAAGTTTTTTTTATAAAAACATGATTTATTTTCATCTTGTGGCATGAAAATTACCATATTTCACTCGTGGCTACCGCTACTCATGAAATATTTATTTTCATACCACTCGATGAAAATAAATTATGTATTTATAGACAAAACTTGAATATCCTCTATCATCCGCATGCTACAGTGAAAAATATATTTTATAACTTCACTGTGAAAATTATCAAAAATAATTTCACTTTCCAAAGTAAAGCATGTAATAAAATACAATAAAATACAATATGTTTCAGTATTGTAATAATAAAACAATAATCATGACAACATTTTGGCAACATGTGTACACTAAACCAAAATGGATGAGGATAGAATATAAGATACTATAATCTAAGTTACGCATTGTGACAATATCTGAGATGTGTGAAGTTAGCGGCCTAGCGGCTCAGCGGCCTGGCGGCGTGAAGTTGGCGGCCTAGAGGCCCAGCAGCCCGGCTTTTTAAATTAGAAAATTCTCAAAGTGATTTTTTTCTTTATATATAAACATTACACATTTTAAAATAACAAAGATTTGAGTTACGTGCGACACAAGTTAAAAATTGCAAATGTTTACTAAGTCAAGGGCAATAACTCTAAAAAAAAATAAATATATCCACATGAAAATACATAGAGTATATTCAAGTTTTTTCTATAAATACATGGTTTATTTTCATCGAGTGGTATGAAAATAAATATTTCATGAGTGGCGGTAGCCACGAGTGAAATATGGTAATTTTCATGCCACAATAAAACACTGGAAAGCATGAAATAAGGTAATATATCAGATGATTATATTCTGATAAACCACTAGTGAAATTTATAAAATATAATTTTCACTGTAGCCGGACTATATCTAAATGCGGATGAAAAGAAAATCATAACTAAATGGAATATCATTCAGAAATAAATGCCGTCATACGTAAATTTTGCTTCTTTTGGAAAAGAAAATCGATGTCACCATACATCATGTTAAAAATGTAACAAAATTGGAGAAAATTAACAGAACTATATTTCAAAATTGATAATGTGACGTCATGATATGATGACGTCACAAAGGAAAATGCGTTAGGCGGCAAAATCAGTAAAAAATAGTTTAAATCACTTAAAAAGCATGAAATAAAAAGAAACTTTATTTGTTTTACATATAAGATTGAAATATATTTCATTCATGAACACCAACTTTTATATTTTCACTCGTGGCTACGCAAAACATGCAAAACAAACAAATATCCTCTATATAGTAAAAACAAAACCACTCCATTTACATAATTATGGCTCCGTGGCGCAGTGGTAACGCGCAGGACTTACGGAAATGCCAGTGGTTCGCGCCATCCAAAAAGCATAGTTTTTAAACATAAAATTAACTAAACAGTAAGACAGTGTATTTAAGTTCGAGTATGCTCACCAGGCTATGCTCTAACCAATATGCAAAGTTTATCAATTCAACCATGATTAAATTACATATAGTAAAATATTACTATATATTGCAGTTTATATGGTAGCGCACTTATTTCCATGGTATCCTATTTATAATAATTCAATAACGCTTACAAAGATTATTTTGATTTTGACTAACTTGTATTTTCGATGTTAAACGAATCTAAGTTAATTTTAAAGTCTGAAAAAATGTAATCTTGCAAATATCACCAATAATATTATTATTATAATTATTATTATTATTATAATTATTATTATGTTATTATTATTATTATTATTATTATTATTATTATTATTATTATTATTATTATTATCAATTATACTCACCAGGCTATAGTCTAGCCCATGCTCAAACTTATAAATCGAACCATGAGTACATTATTGCTATAAATTGCGGTCTATGGGTATAATATAGAATATTGCCCTTACCAACGCAGACTCGTTATGAATTTTAAACTTTTGTAAATCATCATCATGCGCCACAAAAGAATAATGGCGAATATACCAAATTTCATTAAATCCGATCATTTGGCTTGATTTCATTTCATAAGCAAAGATAAATTGAATGTTAACATTTCCTTATAAGTTAATAACTAATCAATAGAAAATAATATGTTTGCTATAATATTAGGAACAATATAAAATTATTAATCAAAATAGGTGATAGACAAAACTACCAGGATGGCCCTCAGACTGGTTGTAAATTCATCAGAATTTTTTAGACGGGTACATCGTCTTTAAACAGTGTCAATACGAACACAAACTGAACAACTATATCTTAACAAAAACTGCGCCGACGTTTTTTGTTAACAGATGATAACGTTCTTAGTACTCAATTATAGACAAATGTAATATATTACATAATCTTGTACATCATATTTGCTTTTTACATGTAAACGTAAAATACAATGGTGCTTATGTACTATATATAGAATGTACAAATCCCAATGCGTCAAATACCATTCATTCATAAAAAAAACAACAAATAAACAAAAAAGTCAAGACAAACAATTTAAATGACTACCTGAGTACCGTCCTCGGAACCGCCAACTAGCCAGAATCCAAAACCTTGATCATTGCAATTTAATGAAACATTCATTTTACTAGTGTAGAAATATATTCTGTAAACAGAGAATGAGGCAGTATCAAATATGTGAAGCTTAACTATATTGTTTTATTAACACCGTTAACTCTCAACACGGTAATTTTACTATCTCTGAAACTTAGCTGCTTAAACTTATACATTCCTTGAACATGACACTAATAAAACTTAGACACTCTGCTTCAATAACGCTTACAAAGATTATTTTGATTTTAACTAACTTGTACTTTCGATGTTAAACGAAAAGTTAATTTTAAAGTCTAAAAAAATGTAATCTTGCAAATATCACCAACTGATAGGAACGGTTTCTATCTTAATTATATAATTTATTTATATTTCATTCTATCTATTACGTTCGTAATTATTAGCGTTCAGGTTTAAAAACGTGTTAATTGCCATGTTTAAAGATGATAACAGGACCAAAATCAAAGCACTGAATGTACTGAACGGGAGGCTATGACAGAATGTTTCAGACTTACAGTTTCTTTTTGCCTAAAATGTGCTGTAATTTCAATTATTACCAAAATGAGAAGATCTGTCCATTGCGCCATTTATCCTTACATTTATATGTATGGTTAATATGGTGGACTTATCATTTTGTTAATATTCCAGAACTTTTCATTGAGGTCTACATTCGGACTGTTAATCATGCACATTTTGAAGAACCTAAACTGCCAATATTAAATGACATACCAGCAAGTATGACGGCTATTTATTATAAGATCATCTGACGGTTCCTTATTGAAATATTCTAGGTCGGCATTGAATGATAATAAAAACTGCTAGTTATGCAACATTTTGGAAGCGAGAGGTATGGAGTTCAAATCCCAGTTAATGGAACTCATACCAAGGGTTTTTAAGCCAAATAAACATTGAATTGAATGAGTGTTGCAAATAGTCTTATAGCCAATTTACTTTAGTTATAACATTGGGAAAAGCATCGGTGACACTATACAAACAAATTGGTTTATAATCTCACAACCTGCACCTTTCTGACATTCTGAGACCCAAACAAATTCAGCGCCTTCTGTGCTTTGATTTTTACCGCCAATACTCAACCAACTTATGGTAGTTTATCGATAGAATCTATTTTTAAACCTCACTAGCTTGAAATATGTACTGCGGGAAATCTGTTGTTAACAGGGTTTGCGGTTATCCCTGTCGATCATGTTTGTCTTACCATTGAGAACATCACACCCCCCCCCCCCACACACACACACACAACACTGTTTCTGTGGTAAATTATTTTCAAGTGTTGTAAAATGAATACTAAACTCCTCTTATGCCGCCGATTATTTTCATTAATTTTATTACACATGGACTATCAAATTATGATTCGTTGCCCCAAAATTGAATAAACTTTCTTATTACACAATACGGGGTCATTCATTTGATTGAAGACTGATCCTTGGGTCTTTCTCTGAAATAATTATTTCCTTGTTCTGTTCTGGTAAGAAAACATATTTGACCGCATCTGTAAGACTGACACTGTTTGCTACTTGAGAATTTTGTTGTACCGCAGCACATTTTTATTTGTGTTTTCTAATCAATTCGAAACTAAAATCAGTTAAATGAGATCACCATCGGGTAGACGACTACTAGGTTCTTTGGTTATGTTTTTTACCCTACATATTTGAATGTTTCTATTGGGATTGAAATGAGTTTAGTTAACTAAACAACTGGTTGTTTAGATCCCTGACCTGTCAAATTATAATTATGAGATTAGTGTATATATTAAAACTTTCACTACAATATATTCCTAAACAAATGAGCACATGTTTAAATTTATTCTTATTCCATTAAAAGGTCAGAGTAGGGATATATCAATTGCCAGTCATATTTTTTAAAGATATTTCTATGTTAAAAGTTTGAATGATGAATTATGTGAGATGAACATATAAGTTTTTTTTTATATTTGCCGATGTAAAATGTATTCTTGAAATTGTGTAGGAGGGTCGCTACGGGTTTTGTAGTTAAATAGTGTGGTTTTTTTTCGGCGAAAATTGTTCAAGAATATGATGTTTTCAAACTATATGTTAATCACCATCAGTGAATTCTTAGTAAATGTATGCGAAATATTTACTAACAGCTATATGATATTGCGGTTTTGTGTGCGTTTTAGGGTGTACTAATAAGTTAGTTTTCATTAGTTATCACACAGGCATGATCCAAGAGACTGTTTATCATTATTTGTCTTTTTAAAAAAATAATATTTTAAGGACTATAAATGGTTTATAACAATAAAAATACATTCGTGATAGTGATCTTGCAATAATCACAACGGCAACGATCGCTGCGTAGTAATTGGAAAATTGTTTTCAAAAATAAAGACAATATTTTGCGAAATATTTAACTTAAACATTTTTTCAGTGCTTTACAATAATCCGTTTTGTTTATAATTTTCCCGATAAAAGTATAACGGTTGAAATATCAGAACTATTTATTTTCGATGCATGGTCGATTTATCGCCGCGGTAAACGTAAGTAGCGATTTTAAAATTTATAAAAAGTTTAATCCAAGCGTTTTTATACCGAGAATTATAAACTTTACAAATAACAAGTATAATTCACGATGATAAGTGAAGAGTCAGCATTAAAATATCACGTTACTATTTTTGTTGACCTGATTACCGCGCTGAACAAGTTTCTTACATGTCACATTTAGATAAGCTAAATAAAAGGCCTTTTTCAATATTTAATCAGGCACAATTTTTACTGAAATGTCTAATTAAGATAGCCCAAGATTTATACCTTTGTCTTTGCGATACTAGCATGTTTCTGTAAAATATGTGAATAAAAAAGCGGGAAAATGATGCAATTAGCTGAAAACAATGGAGTAAATGAAATTGAAATGTGTACATTCTTTTAAAATAATGGAAAATGTGAGAAAATATTTTTGAGCTGATAAATTGATGCATTTTTTTTATTTGATGGAAGTTATTCATTAAATGAATAAGATCATTTCAAATCCATTTTGACTACTTGAAAACTGATTTGTTTGTTTGTTGTTGTTGTTGTTTTTTTTGTTTTTTTTTTTTGTTTTTTGTTTTGCTCTCCTGTGTATCAGTGTATTGATCTGTTCCTCTGACCAAGATATTTTATACATTTACTTAAAATTTACAGATCATGAACACTGAATCAGTAACATAAAAGTCAGAAAATAATAATAAAAAAAAGGCTATCACACACCTTCGGGCACATGTTTTGTGTCAAACCGGTGTTATCAGTGTCTTGACAGACAAAAACTTGTAGAAAAATAGAACGTGTTCTAACTTTCTTGCAAGGAATATAATATATATAATTTAAAAAAAAATGTATAAAAGTAACAATTCTTTTGAATGTACATAACTGTATACTATTTGTGTCGGCAAAAAGGGCATTCTCAAAAAATCGTACATCACGCCAATTGAATGCACTACATATTATATTAAAGCTGGTATTTTTAACTTGATAATTTTATTTAATTTATATTCTGCTTATCAAATACATGTATTTAAAAATCACTAGAAAACAAGTTATGATACACGTATACACAAAAATTCGTTATAAACTGAATTATGATTTTAAGTATTTTTGACTATGCCACTTGGTAGTCATTATGGAGTATCAAATCAGTAAGGAATGGCCAATGAAGTACTAGGATGATCCATAAACCAAATTCGGATAATAAATATTTTAACAACTCACAAAAGTGACGTAATCTGATGTAATGATAATATGCACCCTTGTGGTTTATGATATCACTGCCAAGTGCCGCTTGTATATACTTATGCACTCAAACGAGCATAAATAATTTACATTCTTTAGAAATAATAAGCAACACAACACAGAGTTTAAAGAGGCTAGAGAGAGTATTTGTAAGCCGTCTCCACTAACCGTTTATTTTCCCAACCTCTGGATATAAAGCTACATATCAATTTTTGTAAAGACAAAGGTCCAAAAAAAAGCTTCCACATGACTTATAGTAATAGATTTTCTGAGAAAATTTATCTGTTAAAATATGCCAAATACTTCGTGTAAAAGTAAAGAAATATAAACTTTCTAATATGGTTTTTGAAAATGTTCGAAAAGTCGGGTTGCTGCGAGCGGGATACCCAACACTTTTTCAACGTGGGAAGGGAGGGGGGGGAGGGGGGTATTGTTGAAGGATGAATCCAGGCTCAAGACCAGCGGCTCCTTCTCGAACCTACCTGACGTAAAACCCAAATTTAGCGGTCTAAAATTTTATGTCATAATGGAAAAAAGGAAACGAATTTTGTAAATTATAAATAGGCAAAGACACAGATAATTTCTCCCTGAAATAAACTCATTTCATGTACATAATTATATGCAAACAGAATAATAAATTCACAGTTAATCAAAACAGAATTAATTGAATATGCCTCGTCGATTTTGAAAGTCCATGGATATTACGGGGAAGTCAAAGACCGGGCCCTCGAAGCGGGTTCGGGCTTTGGCTTGCCCGGCTATAGACTACTCGTGTATATCTAAAAGAAAATCAAATAAAAAAACAATTAAAAAATATATAGAATTCTATACCTATCAATGAAATTTTCAGTGTCAATTCTAGTCGGGCGCCGCCATTTACAATGTAACTCAATGATAATAGGCGGGGTATTCCGATAACGGAACAATTCTCAACTTTTCGGATAAATAATAAATGTCGAGTGTTCCAAGTGAAAACGGAAGCGGTGCATGTAATACTGAATGAAACCTTTAAAACGGAAAGAAAGGAATTTTAACGACTTCCCCGTGCATAGGTTTTGCCTAATTTCATATTATTTCACTGCGGATGATCACGTGATCATATTGTCTTAATAGTATTCTGCTTGAAAACACACATATACATCAGCGTAAAAGTATTTACAATACAGAAATAAGATACAAACATGTACATTATACAGAATTTATTTCACCAGCAAATATGCGGCCTAGTTTTACATATAAATACCATTTTACTTGTTGATTTTGGCTTGCAGCCACGGCTGCAAGCCATTTCATTTGGAAAATTTGTTCCGGTAAGGTGGTTTTCTGCTTACATTTGTAAGTGCATGATTGAACGGGAAACCAGCTGCAATCGTGCCAATCGCAACTTTTTGGCCTTTTCCGTCACTCTTCGGATTAATGATAATAGCCGATGTACTTCCGATTGCAATCGTGACAATTCGGGCGATTCCGTCATACTGCAGAATCAGACGAAGTAATATTACGGAAATCTAAGCTATTTTAGTTACTTCGGTAATCCCAGTTTGTTTATATAAATAGGATTCGTATTTTTACTTGTTTATTGATTTAAACCAACGAAATTGTTCCGTTTCAATTCTTTTTCAAGACGCAAAAGTTACTTTCTTTTATAATGGTTTTTGTCTGTATTAATAGTTTTATACAATAGAGGATGTTGACTGTAGTAGTATTCCGTCTTCAAAGGGTGGTCCAAATCACACAGAATATTAGTGCATGATCGAGTTATATTTAGATCTACTGAACTTGGTGAGGTAATCTA